GTTTAAACTTTTACATTTTAAGAAAATTCGACATAATTCAGAACACTCTGTACATAGGTATAGATAAGTCTTATGCAGACAATTAGAAAATCCAATAAAATAAAGGGTGTTCCATAAGAAAAAATATAACTTTGAAACACCGCGCTTTATTGTGACACCCTGTATATTTTAGAATAATTTTAAAATGTAGCCTTTATCAACCTACATACTATACATTTAAAAATTTTTCAAAATCTTTTACCGTTTTGCTGTAATCTTCCGTCCCGTTAGTTGTGACTCACCCTGTATAAAGACGTAATGCATAAACAATTATTTATTTTTATAATAAAGTAAACAATACATTGTAGTTTTTAAATTAAGTTTAATTGAAATCATTGACAAAAATTTGTATACAGGCTGAATTACGAAACCAAATTACGATTTTCTCAATTTTTTTAAATGGATCACTCTATATTTTATTTTTTAGAAATACTGTATTTCTAATACTCTTTCATTTTCACATAGTATTCCCCATACCTAAACTCATTACTTTCCGAGATATTTTTAGTCTTCTTCAAATTTAGGAAATACATTCAATTTTTGTAAGTAGAAATAAGTATTGAGTAAAATATCATATTTCTCTCATTCCCATTCTTTCTAAGAACGTAAATATATATAGACCAGCAAAATATTGATAACTTAACCGATGTTTCAAACTATTCAATGAACTTGTCTCACTATACACTCGTGAATCGCACCAAGTTATATTGTTACGGGGGCAAATTTTATGGGGACTATGTTACTTTTTCACTTATTTACATGGGCGAAGCATACACACTAAAAATGCCCCTGGTAAGAATTTACTGCTGGCATTTTACATGGTTGCCGCTACTGTTTAGTTTAATTTGTAGATTAGTCACCTTTAATTGAAAATTGTCCGACTATACTAGGCATAATTCGCGTTTGGACTTCTTCTTTTATATTTAGTCTCCTGGTAAATATCGCTGCTAAGTATTGGAATCTTTCTACTTTTTCTAATTTATATGGTTTCCCTTCTGTGATGTGTCTAGTGTTGTCCTTGTATGTATTCTCGTTCTGTCCATTCCATATACTTGGTCTCTTCTTTATTTATGTATACTCCTTTCTTTCTCGCTTTCGCTTGTAGTCTTTGTAGTACTCCTTTTAATTCTTGTCTACTTCTGGCTATCAGTACAGTATCATCAGCAAATGGTAGGCATTGGTGTTTCAGTTGATAAATAAGTCATGTCTTGTTAATGCCGACTTCTTTGACAACATCTTCAAGAATGATACTGAAGAACAATCAAAACAGTTGGTCTCCTTATCGCACTCCTCACTGATTTTTATTTTAATCCTATTCTTTTTTTCTGAGTGTCATTTTTATCATTCTTACTAATTTTTCAGTATTTCCCATTTCACATAGTGCCTTGTATATTTCTCTCCATTTTACTCTGTCAAAAGTTTGTTTAAAGTCAATGAAAAGGACCACTGTAGTATTTGCAAATTTCCGCTTGTATTTCACCCAGAAAGAAAATTTGATCTACTGTGCTGCACTCTCTTCTGAATCCACATTGATATTCTTCAATGTTATTATCTATTTTTTGTGATATCTTATCTTTTATATGTACTTCAAGTATTTTATATGCAAGATTTAGTAGTAGTTATTCCCCTGTAATTATGGCATAAACTTTTGTCGCTTTTATTGCAAATTGGACACAGTGTGACTTCATTCCATTCTTTCGGTATGCGTTCTTGTTCCCATATTTCAGCTGTTACTTCATCCTTTCCTATGCCCTTATTTTTTCTTTAGTTCCTCTATTATTATTTTTTTCATTAAGCGGTTTTTCGTCTGTTAGTTCTTGATCGGTATTTTGCTTCAGTTCTTCTTCATATTCTGTTGTGGGTATTTCAATTAGAAGCTCTTCGAAGTATTCTTTCCATCTGTTCAGTATTTCCTCATCACTTACTGAATTTATTCAATTTTTGCTTTTGTAGTGTACAGGTTTTCTTTGGAAGCTTATTATGTTCGTTTAATGTTTTGTTTCGATTAATAATCTTTCCATTTTGTCCATATCGTGTACCTTTGTTTTGCCAACTAGCTTTCGTTATTTTAGCCTGTTTTATTTGTGCTGAAAGTTTTTGGCTGTTACCTACCTTTTTCTCCTTTATTATTTGTTGTTGAATCCTCATACAAGTATCCGAAATATTTCAAGAGGGCAAGATATTAGTTAAGCCATCTATTCAGAAAATTCTCTCAAGACACCACATCCAGCGACACCAAGAATTGACTGCGAATGATTTTTTAAGGAAGTGTAGCTTTATGAGAAATGGCGCAACAAAAAATAATTGCACAAATACATTTTTTCAATTTTGTTTTATTCGGAGATCACTGTTTCACAAAAACAGGTGTATCAATCTGTATAACTTCTACTATTACTTAACAACAAATACGTATCACATAATTACCAAGAGTCAAACTAGGTAGTACTTGGTGGTACCTTAGGTAATGATGTAATATGCCCTTTCTTATTTTAAGAAACAGGAAACGTATTGGTTTATCAAAAAAGTTTCTTTTTTGTCGGGATATAAGGTTCAGACTACGCCTAAGAATGCTTCGGTGTTACGTATTTACTACTCTTCTTATTGGCTTGGAAGCATGGACATTAAAACAAGCGCATCTGAATAAAATGGAACTTAAAGAAGAAGAAGCGGTTTATCGAGACTTTTTAGTAATTAATTTACCTATTTTACTTGAAAACGGGTAACATCCGCAGCAATTAAAGTATTTACATGAGGAAGCTCCTTCTCATCATAACGAACTTGTCTCAGGTGAAATGAGTGTGCAATTTCCTAACCTAAGAAGAGAAAGACCAATTCAATGGCCCGCTAGAACACTAGAATTAAGTAAAGTCGACTTCTTCTGGGGCTTCTTATAGATCTAGTGTACTGTGAACCTCAAACAGCAATTGATGACATGAACGTCAGATTTAGAAACGCATTTCATAATATTATGCCATAAATGCTTACCAATGAAAGTATATCATTTGAAAACCGTATTCAAGCCTGTGTTGGCGTTATGGGAGCTCATTTGGAAAACCTTCAGTGAAAATAACAATTTCTTTTTTCAATTTTTTATTCTGTTTGTGTGTTGCTTTTAAACATATTTATAAACGCTAAAGTAAATATAAATAATAAATTTAATTAATGAAATATGCTCTTGTCCACTACAATTTAAAATATCTCCAAAACTATTAAGTATAGGCACGAAAAATAATTAAAGACACATTAAACTACATTGAATTGTTGATGCACACATATTGAGCAAATAATAAATTTGTTTTTGACCTACCCTGTATAAAATTTAAAAACTATGGCTATAATAAGCTTTGCCTTTTTACCTCTTTTCAGCTACACATAGGGTTCAACTTGTTACAATTTTCAATTTTTAACTTTTAAATACCCTGTATTACACAAAACAACATTGTATTCTTGTGCCGAGGAAGTGAATCGGATTTTAAATCTAAAATAAAATACAGGGTGTTTCATTAATAAAAACTATTTCTTTGAAACGGTACAGTGTTATGGACGACCCTGTATATTTGTAATTACTTTGAAAATGTGAAGCTTACAGCTAACTCCTATTTTTGTACATAACTTTTTCGGTACCTATTATAATAACACATATTACAGACATCATCACACAAGTTGATCACCCTGTATATATAAGGTTTTGTTACATGCATGTTAAAATTATAAATAATTATACAAAAGTTAAGCAGCCACAACAAATTGCCAAATTGTAATTATATAGATGCCTTTACTTATTAGCAAATATTTACATTATGTATATTATTTTGTGGTTAGGTTAGAATATAATATATTTTTAAATATTTGTATTGAAAATAACTTGAGAATAAGCAATATGTTTTTGGCAATGGTTAATTTTCTTGGATTATTGTGATAATAAACACAGATTAAAATTGAACTGATGAGTGTTAACCAAGGATTACTGGTCCTAACAACAGACTGAATAGCATGCTCAGCAGCGACTTAAAAAAATCTAAATTCAGCCAAACTATGTATTGCTTCAGACAGCCAAGTGTACTGAAGGATGTTAAGCCTACAACTTATGAGTCAGTAACAGATTGGAACTGTAAACAGCATTTAAGCAACTGGAAGGGCACAAAGTAACTTTACCATGCCTAACCTAACATATAGAAAGTCAAAGTAAACCCAATTAAAAATATGAGATTTTCTAATGAAAACATTAATTATTATAAAACTTGAAATTATTGGAAGTTCAAAAGAAAGGGTAGGAAGACATTCATGGTAAAATTTGTGGGAAAAGTTCAATGGTGTCAATTATCACATATTTACATCAGTACTAGGGGTATTTACAATATTAGTCTGACACTGGAAGAAGAAATATATAATGAACTAACTGCATTTTATGTTACATTAGGTAGAGCGCTAAATTAAAATAAAAAAGAAAATCATGGCCTACTAAATCAAAGGGCATTTTCTAATAGTTATTTTTTGTTGTTCTAAAAGAGCCAAGGGGTCCTACATAATTTTGAAAACTATAGCTATTTATGTTCAACTAAAATATGTATTAAACATACATAAGCTCCACACATTTTACAACAGTTCCTACTACAAATTTTGTACCCTTCAGTTGCTCTGCGCTGTGATATGTAAATGTAAAAAATCTTTCTTTCATTTATATTTAGGTTGAAAGTTACAAAAATTATAATACTGTAAATATTTAAAATAAATTGGGGCTTAAAATATTATAGAGTGATAATACAGTTCTTATCTGTTTTTAATACTCACTGTACATTTTTATTTATTATAATTATAATAGATAAAGGAAACAATAATCCTCTTAGATAAAAGCAAACATTAACTTAAAACCTACAATGCACATCAAAATTGGTATAATATTATATACTGGTGGGAATAAATTATTTGTCTCTTTAGAAAAAAACTTGCCACAAAGAGATAACACAGAGATAAAATATTTTAATTCTGGACTTCAAACAACAAAATTTTTACAATAATTTTGCTTACCTAAATTACTCACAGCCTCAATGTTAAACTTGGATCATGAAATTAAGCTTCACTGGATCCAGCCTCAGACAATCTCATAACAGCATGGCTTGCACTTGGCGAGCCATAAAAACTGGGCAATGATCGATCTTCATTAATAGGCTCAATAGAACTGGAGCTGACAAGAACAGGAGCTATATATTCTTCATTTCTAACAGGCAAGCTAAAGGCATGGAAGGAACTTGGCTTGCAAGTTGGAAAGGGGCCAATAAAGAAGAAAAATATTGCTGTAAGAGCAAATCCCAAAAATGCAATGCAGGTCATAGTATTTAAATATGCACGTAGAAAGAAAAACAAAGCAGTGATCAGTTGTAACAGTAGTATAGCTATGCGCACCATTTTTACAGCATCAGAATGAATTCTTTGGCCTTCCCCTGACATAGTTATAGGCCGGTATACATAATATATATTATATTTATCCACCAGATGTTTAAAACAAAGATAAAGCAAACCAAAAGGTGTGATTAAAGGACATGTTAAGCTGTAAACTGTACAAATAGTGAAGATAAGCAGTGTCCAAGCATAATGGATACCAAACGGAAATACTGACAAAATTTCTTTTCTAATTGAAGTTTTTTCAGCCTCAGATTTAATAAGTAGTAACCTCCAAGCATACATGGCCAACTCTGGAAATCTTAACAATTCAAGTGCTGTACCTATAAGTGCTGAAGTAATAACATAATTAACAAACAATGCACCTTTATCAGCTAAAAAGATGCACTCCCATCTTAAAGTAATATTTTGTGTGTGAACTGACCATTCCAAAAATGTTTGTGCACTAGTTAATCCAAGAGAAGGCAAAATCAAAACCATAAAAAGCAAAAAGAAAAAAGCTTTGTACATAGTAGCATGGTTTTGTTTGGATTTTGTCCAATGGGACATCCATTCATCAGAATATGCTACCAAAACAGGCATTACAGCAGACATAGATAAAAGCAACAATGTTGGCAAAAACTCAGATAATAAAGGACTTATCTTAGTTATAAAATTATCCTTTGTGAGATTGTTGAAGATATTAACTACAATGAGTGGTGTAGTTAAGAAAAACAGAATAACAAATAGTACTGTATTTATAATAATCGCTTTTGAATACCAGTTCCTATAGGATATTTCCAAGTTTTCCCAGTTGATATCTGATGGTGACGGAGCTTTAAAAATTACCCAATTCCTGTGGGACCCAGCTTGAAACGATCTTAGTATATACTGTGCTGTCTCTTCACTGTTTAATGTTACAAAAGCCACTCCCAATGGATTTTGGAGTGCCTTTCTTCTTTCTAAAGCAACAAGGTTATTAAGTTTCTCTTCTTGTATTGTATAATAATCAAGAGCATTCACTGTGTTACAAGGGCAACAAGCTATACATCCTTTAGGTTGCATCTTAATCTCATTTTTAGGTGCATTACTTAAACAGTACATTCTTGCTTCATGTATTTTTTCTCTTTGTCTCTCTAAGATTGTCAGTTTCTTAACTTTGTAAGCAATTTTTACATCTTCTATTCCAGGGTATCTAACACTAAAATAATTTTTTATATCTTCACAGTATCTATGTTGTTTTGAGATATTCGTTACCATTAAAGTTCTTGATGACAATTTCGATGCACTTGGTAAATGTCCTGAACATTTTCGCATAATGAAAATCATTAGTGGTACCACAGCTATTGATCCAGTAATGTGAACCCATAACCATTTCGAGTCAGATGGTAAATTACTAATTGTAGTGTGTCCAAATGTAGTCTTATCTCCTTGTAAAGTTCCTTGAAAATTAATAGGAAGCACCACTCCAATTGAGAATACAGTGATTACCAACATTAGAATAAGTAACTGTCTTTGAAAAGATAAATAATGGGAAGCATCTGGTCCACATCTTGATAAAATCTGGTCTCGATTGATTTTAAATATGGAAGGAAACCATAAACAACCAGTATCAGGTATCAACGACACCTCATGATTTGATTCTTCTACAGCAACTGCATCATCTGTATTCTTGTAAAATAATTGAGTCCATTTTTCAGTATGTACCAATGCCAATCTTCCATAATCCCAAGCTCTATTCCTCAATATGGCAAATAGTAGAATAAGTAGCAACCATGAAATAACATTCAATACTAAAGTTTCTGGTATTCCTTCATATACATTACTAATAATTTTATTAGTTTTTTTGTTGATTAAACAAGTGTCATTATCTATTATTAGAATGGAAGCATCGGTATAGCCAGACATGATATTTAACAATCTGGAATAAAACAGTCATTTATTGTTACTGTCACCCAATGTTAATAAAGAGCCACTCTTACCTTTAATATATCAATTGCTACATTACACTTTAACAACAAGTATTATTCAATACACCAAACTGCATTGTTTTATTCATGACACATCGTTTACACTAATTTTCTATGGTTTATTTTGTAATCTTGTAACCTTCTAATCATATGGAACAATTTAATACTTATGACGTTTACGTCATTTGCCAACGTTCAACATTCCTGTGTATTCATGGTCCTCTAATATATAGGCATCGCCATAAATTTAGTTAAATTTTAGGTTTATTAAAATTAAATAAGATTTAATAAACTAATAGTGCTTTTCTCCAAAAGACAGTGTCTGCCATTCTTTTCGGACAAACATTTTAGGTTAGTAATATAAATAAAATTAAATCATTTAAAGACGATACCTAAATATATTATTTTATAAATTTTCCAAAGCCTTTATTACTTTATTAAATAATAAATATATCTTTATAAATTTATAAACCAGTACCTATGACACAGAACAAATAACAATCAGAATGGCCATCCTCAGATTTCGCCTTTGAAGTGTGTCAGCACGCGATCGCCGTATTTGAAACTCAAACACAGACTCAGATTGGGAAATTTGTGACAAGCTATGACAGAACCGTAATTTAAATTTTTAGAGATTAATAATTTAGTAAATTTGAAATAATTTAATCTATTCTTCAACTAAAAGTACGATATAAAATACCGACATGGGACGTTTTTCACATTTGGCCCCAGTGAACTCAGTGAAGATAGCCTCAAATTAGCTGTCAATTAAGTTTCACAGAACAAAACATTACGTTGGCAGTGTTGCCATGTTCTTATAATGTATATGTTATAATATGCTTCAAATACAAAGAGATAAAGCTTTTAAAATTTTTATTTTTATTATATTATTTTATGGATTCTGCAATTTCATACCTTATATATAACGTTCATGAATTAATATTTGTTTCGATTGATATAAATTGCAATTAAATATTAGAATTTTTTTGGCAATTGTCCTTTGATTGGTTAGCGGATAGAAGTCAGAACCCTCAAACCACCAGTTGCCAGATTGTAATAGATGTCTTTGTAACTTTATTATACTGACATTTTACTATTTACTTTTAAAAACTATTTACTTTTTCTTTTTTAGTAATTGTTAAGTATTGATTGCGTATGTTTCATTTGTAATGTAAATTTCAACACTGCCAAACACCAATATTTCATTCTGCAAACCCATTTGAGGCTATCTTTATTGGGATCAAATGTGAAAAACGTTCAAATATTGCATATGATGTCGATGGTTGCCGTAAATAAATTAAACCGGGTTAATTTTTCTATGAACACCAGACAAAATTTCACTGAACAGCCGGTTCAGCCATGGCTTTACCATTTTTTATACGTTTTAGTGCTTTTTCAATTTCCTCTTTGGTAAATGTAGGTTCATTTATAGCCCTTGATTCTATTGTCTCCATTCTTTCGTCTTCTTTAAATAGCTCTTTTTATATATTGTTCCGATCTATTTAATTTCTCTGCACTTTCAATTATTATTTTTTTGTTTTTGTCCATTATGTTTATAATACCTCCATACCTGTATATGCCAGCTGTTTATTTCATTTTCCAGTATGCGTTAAAGCTGTCATCATGTGTTTCTAATCTTTCTATTGTTTCTATTCATGCACGTTTTGCTCATAGCCACAATTCATTCTCTTGTCATCCTTCAGATGTCAGTGCGTATGCTGTAATGATGTTTATATTAAAGGTCGATTCAGACACATCAGTCATGAGTCACGTCTCGTCACAGTCCTGGCGCCGAACCGAACAATCCTACTTTTTACTGGTGGAGAATCGTTTTCCAAAATACTGTTAATAGCAATAAGAAAAAGAGTAACACTAATCGATGATCCTTGAGGGGTTCCATTTTCCTGTTTTTTTGTTTTAGAAATGAAATCATCTACTTTTACTTGGAAACTCCGGTCTTTTAAAAAGTTAGTGATGAAGTTTAGCATATTTCCTTGTATACCTAATTTCTGTAAAGTTTTAATTATTCCATGGCGCCAAACTGTATCAAATGCTCTGGTTATATAAAAAAATACCGCTATGCAGCTTTGATTATTTGCTAGCACTTCATGTATTTCAGACTCCAGGTCAACTAAGTTGTCTAGAGTTGATCTATCTTTGCGAAATCCACTTTGTTTGTTAGATAAAACAGATCTTTGCTCGAGTATCCAAATAAGACGTTGGTTAATTAATTTTTCGAGCACTTTGCTCATTGCAAATTGCACATTATTCCAAGTATGTGGAAACACTCCTTAAGCCATATTTGGTTATATATCTTTAGTAAATAGGCAAGTCCATTTTTAAGCAAATTTTTAAGGAAAATAATAGGAATATCATCTGGACCAGGACTAGAGTTTTTAATAGAATTTATAGATTCAGTTAACTCTTCATCTAGTATTGGTGCATTTATTCATAGGTTATCGATTTTATCATAATTAAATTCTTGTAATTCTTATTTGGTTTTAAACTCTTGAGAAAAATTTTCGTTACTTGAATATGACTCGTAGGATGAAGCTAATACATTGGCTATTCTAGATCTAGATGTATGAACTTTGTTATTATATTCTAAAAATCTTATGTGAGTTTGTGTGGCATCCCGAAATTTTGTTAATTTGTTTCCACACTATTGCTGCTAGAGTAGAACTGTTTATTGTTGATAAAAACTTTTTCCACGGTTCCTTTTTTGCTTCTTTTACCACTTTTCTACTAATAGCCCTTAACTTCTTAAATCCTAGAAGATTTTGTTGTGTTTTTTGTTTTTTGTATTTATTGAATGCTGTGAGTCTTCTTTATAGCATCCTGACAGTGATTGTTCCACCATGGTACTCCAATACGATTTCTTACTACACTCACCGGCAAAATTAACGGAACACCTTAAAATTGGGACATGTTAGATGTCTCGAATTTCCTAAACCTGTTGTCCGATTTTAGTGATTTTTTTATTATGTTATAGGTATATTATTTAAGAATATCAATGAAATAATATTGTTGCTAGACAGGTCAACGTCATTTTATACCGGGTGTAACAATCATACTGTGTTTTTTCCTTAAAGTTCGAAACACCCTGTGGAATATTCTAGCATATATAAAATATTGAAATTAAAACTTAATTATAGCCTCAGGCTTTCTTAAAATTTTCTTTTTTGATTCATTTGCTTGTGTTGGATAATAAAAAAGGTAGGTACGTTAACAATTAGCCATGTTTTTTCATCAATAAATCCTCATTTTCTGCTTAGTTTAAAAACAAGCCTAAAGTAGGCTATGAGAAGTTAACAATTTAATGCACACGCCGGCAAATTTAAAGGAACCTGTTATTAATGCAATATTTCTTTATATTTGTATTTTATAGACTATATCTACATAGCTTTGAAAGCTCGTTGTCACAAGAAAGTCTTAAATGTCAAAATGTCAAATTAATTTGTTTATTTGTATTGTGTTTTACATTTTACAGTCATTCTGTCTGTTCATAACAAGTACAAACTTGTATTTAATTGAGCGCACAATAAGAAAGAGACTTAAAGAAGCCGGTCTCAAGTCATATGTGCCAATAAAAGCTCCCAGACTCCAGAGACACCATCGTTTAGCACGACTACAATTTGGTCGAGTACATCAAAATTGGAATGATAACCACTGGAGTCAAATTCTCTTTACGGACGAGAGCCGTTTCTGTGTAAATTACATCGACGGTAGAGAAAGATTGTATTAACGCCAAGGAGAACGAAATGCCCCTTTCAATTTTACTACGACCGTACCTTTTGGTGGAGGTTCAATTATGGTGTGGGACGGTATATGTTTGGGAGCAATAACAGAGTTAGTTGTGATTGATGGTGGAGCATTAACAGCAGATAAGTATATCAGAGATATTCTCCAAGACCATGTGGTACCTTTTTCACCATATATTGGCGAAAATTTTATTTTATAGTGTAAGAGTGTAAGTGTAAGATATTTCTTATTACAAGTGGGCATAACAACGATGAATTGGCCAGCTTGTTCCCCAGACCCAGACCTAAACCCGATAGAGGATATGTGGGACATGCTAGGCAGAAAACTTAGGGCACGGGTTCCTGCTATTCAAAACAGAGAAGTCACAACTGCAAAAGATTGAGGAATGGGAGAGGCTGCCCAACAACTGATCGATAGCGTTATCAGAAGTATGAGAAGACGAATAACTGCAGTTGTAAGGGCTCGTAGGGGAAACACACGCTATTAAAGCCAAAAAAAATGCATAAAAAACAATTTAAGTTCAAA